TGCAAAAAGTCATCATTGGATTCATTATACTGATTATTCTACTTTATCACAACTCGCAACAAATGAGATGTGATTTCATCTCAGACACTCTGTCAGTCACTGCCGACCAACAAGGTATATCACTGTGAAAGTGGGGGCTATTTGGGAATAAGACAATGTAAATAATGGTGCTGTATAACCATAAGCACCGAGGAGGGAGAAAGAAAACCGTCATTAATCAAACATGAGCGAGAACAAATTAAAATGTGCCAGCTGGAGACCATTTTCTTCTGCGTTTTAGGGAAAAAAACAACAACAAATGCTCAGGAAAAACCAGGACCTCAAGGCTTGGTTGATGACGTCTACTTTATCATTTAAAAATCATCCAGTCAGAATAGAAATGCAGCACGTGAGCCTATGGAACACAAAGATTTTTTATTCCATTAACAGTCACTCAAATTTTCACTCCTGGTTGAATCCATATCTAATTATTCAGTGCGAGATCTTCTCCATACCGCGGTACAAAGCCCGTACTGTGCTGCAGTCTGTTATCTTGGTCCTCCTCTCATTTTCCTCATTTCGTGTCTATTTTAACCATCAAATTTATCAAAACGTATCAAGTAAAAGTGAGCAAAAAAAAAAAAAAAATCATGTGGAGTCTGAAAATTGAAATTGAAAATAGAAGGTCTGTAACAATAGGACCACATCAAACACAACGTCTACACGGCACTCGTTCTTAACGTCAGTTTAATTGCCTAGTTTGCTGAAATATCTGTCTTGAATCATGACGGTTACAGAAAATTTAAAAATCAGTGAGAGATCACTTTTAGCATGTTCCAATTCTTGTTAACACTCCTATTATTGTGTGTGTGTGTGTTTGTGTGTCATGTAATGGTCCTGTAATTGTATGTATATGATGTTAATTATAGAAACCAACAGGGGGAGCTAGAGCCGCCCTGTTAACACAAGATAAGCTTACAGTATTTTTAAAAATTTTCTTTTACTTTTTACTATTTTACTTTTCATTCATTCTTCTTCTTCTTCTTTTTCTTCTTCTACTTTACATGTTAATGATGCAATAATATAGGTATAAAACTACAAAAAGTTATTTTTGACGTATGTAATATCTGCCAAGTTATGGATATATACATTTAGCAATTACTAATATATATACAGTATATACTGTATATATGTGTATATGCACTATATATATCACCACTGGTGACACTGACTGTCAAGTTATGACACACCTCAAGCCTCTACTTTGGGAGTCCTGACAGGTTTAGGGAGTGTTTCTTATTTCAGGCGTACAGCTGTTTGTTTCCACCATCCAGAACAGACACAATGCAGTCCCTGATTGGTGATAATACCAGCGGAGACGTGAGGATAACATTAGTTTGAACTGTAGCTGATGGGCTTAATCAGCTTTGTGTACACGCTGCCAAAAATGACCCAAATATTTTGGACATATTTTTTTAAATCACCACCTGTCTTTAGTGTGTGACGACCTGTCACTGACATCTTGACATGTCACCGTGTGTACTGATCATTTGGGTTTTTAACCAATTTGCACCATCCTGTGTCTTGTCCAGGGTTTTAGAATTTGTTTTCAAATATTAACTGTCAAACAGAAATCCCTAAATTGCTGTCCAGCCGTAGATGTTAAAGAGTGTGATCCCACTGATACCTTATTATATGACCATGACACGGTGTCATTTACAATGTCTCTAAGTTGCACCTATTGTCTAGTTTTACTATATGTAAATTAAATGATAACATTAACATGTTATATTATTGCAAAAGACCTCAAACTTAAATATAGTCACTCCTAAGCAATCATTTATCAGTAATGTGAGATCCAGCGTTTTGTTGATAAAATATTCTAAGTATTTTTTATTATTGTTATTATTGTTGCTGTGCTGCTTTTGTGTCTGTGCGTTTCAGGACTGGTCAGCTGCTGTCAACGTTTAAATGTGCCTTATGAATCAATTTGTTTTGACTGGGATTGATTAGTGGAACATTCGGCATTAAATCAAGGATAGTCGCCATTACTGCGGACATAAAACCAGGGTGTAATGAACTAATGCTGAGACGGTATAAACCATGACTGCGTGCTGTAAATCTCTCTCCATGTTTTTAGTGCTCCACGGAGTCCAGTCCTGACCAAGGTTTGCTTGCAGTCCTTCGCGATCACACCGAGCACCGTGACGTGCGTAATTACTGTCTGATCTCGAAAGGAGAAAAGTCCTGATAGTGTGTGACTGCCATGGAGCACAAACCACATTATGCTAGCTGTTTAGTGGCACAGTGAGTCATGCCCATGAAGGTCAATTGAGTGGATTGGAGAGCAGTATAACAGAGTGGGTACTGTGTGACAGCAGGTTAAGTGGCAAAGACATGTATATGGCCTGCTTGGTGGAGCCCAATATCAGCTGACATAATACAAAGTGACAAAGACTATTGTTAGAGGGGAGAGGAAAAATTACAACATCCACTGTGCACCTGTGCAACGTTATAAGTTTGAAAATGTCATCTGGCAGCGTGTGTTCACCTGGGAGTGTCTGCCTGGGCTGGATCCAAAAGTATTAGCAGCCTTAGCTAGGATGAGCCGGACACATTTAGGATATTGATTCAAATGATGCCGTATGAACACTATTGTTTGTTCCTGTTGTTCGTTAGCAGTGAGTTGATTTAAATTTGTGGCAGTCCTGATGGAATTTTCACATCGATTACAGAGCAGTGTTCAGATGAGTGTAAAAAAGATGAATTATTATTTCACATGTTCGGTTGCGGTTTCTTCTTCTCTTTGCGAAACTCAATCAATTTACCCTCTTTCTTAAAATGAATTCTGTAATGTCTTATAATATATGGAATTCAGTTCAAATGCATAATCGCCATGGCAGCTTAAACGTAGTAAACACAACAAAATGATTTGTATTACAATTATTTAGAAAGAAAATTAAATTTTTATGTCAGATTTTTGTTGAGCGAACTTGTTAGCAGCTGTGTTGCACTTGTCAAGATACTTTATGCTAACTCTACACGTAATACGTAATGATTCTTAGATGTTCTCTGGGTCAAATTCAAACACAGGGCAACCTGGTATATTTCTGCCATTTAATTAAAATTCAGCAGTTCTGTAAAAGTAAATAAATGGAACCCAAATTTATCTGTAATGAGACAAAGAGTATTGTCTTTATCTTGTCCCTTCTTCAGGGGTTGTCGACGAGTTTTTAAATATATAACCCAACCTGGGATTCGTTCCTAGGGTTGAATTGAACCCAGAACCCTTACAAGGCCAGTGGGAGTCCTCACACTGCCCCCTATAGCCTAAAGTGATTCGACATCCTCTCTACATACCATATTTGTATCTATTGATGATATATTAAACGTCTTTACTAATTAAAAATTGTCTGTAGTTAAAGGCCATCAATCTCATCAACAGAAGCGGCAAAATATTAGGGTTTTCCTTTCAAATGAAGAAAATGTATCATTGCTGTCCATAATATGTTTATGAAAAAAAGAACATTCTGTAGTGTTCTTTCCAGGGGAAAATGTCTTATGGGTAAACTGTTGCTACGTATAAAATAGCAATTTATGTGTAAATGTAATCATATAACTGGATGATAAACCTTTGTGTGTACAGTATGGCCCCCTATATATATATATATAAAAGAATTACCATAATATATAATAGTGCTTCCACTCGATGCTGCAGTTTCATCCATGCAGTGATGGTGACAGAGTACAGTGTGTATTTGATAAGCGTGAAATCAAATGCAGTGGAGTTACAGCATGAGGGAGAAGAGGCAGGTTTTCCTGTTTGGTTGTCTTCGTTGTCTGTTCTTCTTCTTGTCCAGTCTGCTGTCGTCTTCTCTGCTGTTTAGAATGAAAGCCATACACTGTATATATACTGTACGTACATCACAAAGACTGAAAGGTTGAAAGGAATACTTTGTACTACACCATTACTTACTTTTTCAAGTCTTATAAAAGGTCTCCAATTATTGTCAGATTGCTGAAGAGCGAGAACATACTAATGAGGCAGGCGCAGGAGTAAATACTTGAATTTACTGAGCTGGCTCCTGGCCAGTTTGTTCCACTTATTCCCAGAAGAAAACTGCATATAAAAACCCCATTATGCCTCCAATGTTGCCTGCTGCGTGTCACCACATAACCTGCCCTCTTCCCACGGATCTTCCCATGTTTTGCACCTCAATCATGTTCCATTAAGGTCTTTGAAATTATTTATAGCTTTGCATTCATCTGTTTTTTCTCTTTTGATTTTTTTTCTCCCTTCTCCTCACCTGTCAAGATTTCAGTGAACCCCTGAACTGCCAGTTTATGATACTCCTTCTGCAAAGTGCATCACTCAGCCTTGTTTTTCACTCAACGTCACTGTCAGTGGATGCAGCAGAAATATAATCTTTAGAAAAATCCATGAGTGCCTTTGCACAGGGCGTAATTGTCTCATATTTGGATACGCTCGAGTTTCAGAGTGTTGACATTTAACAGACATGTTGTCTCTCCTCCTCATGAACTAATGAAAAAACATTAAAAGCCGATTGAGATGATCTTTGATTTAGGACGGTGCACTTAAGCGAACACCACACAGTCTGGTGATACAGATAAGGCCTTCATGTCTTTAGAAATGCACAGAATAAACCTTAAGTGACGCTGTGTTATGACTGTTTGGCTGATTGGTCCACTGAGTAGAGCTTATTAAAGTGATTGGATTTATCGAACAAAGTCATAAAAAAATGTTAAGTGCTCTTACCTTACAGCTTACACCAGTTTCCTTAAATTGGAGTTTTTTCTGTATGGAGTTTGTGTGTATTTTCTTACTGTGGTACTCTGGTTTACTCCCACAGTACGACGACATGCAGGATTAGGTTCATTCTTCACTGATTACAGGTACAAGTTTGAGTGAAAATGGTTCTTAGTTTCTATATGGACTTCATTGTCCACCTAACTGTAACTCAATGACTGTGGAGGTAAAGAATGAATGAATGAATGGATGGATGGATGGATGGATGGATGGATGGGCTGACTGATTAAAGAAGGTTATCTTTGAGAACTTTGTTTTTAATCACTGGGCTAATCTCAGTAGCCTGAATTAGCATTAACTTCCCACGTGTTTCCATTCTGTAGCACTAGGCTAACTTTTAGCTGTCATTCTGTTATCTTTGAACAATATTTTTTTTCTGGATAGGTTTGAACTGCTTTTAATAACTCTATTAACTCACAGGTCATTCCTGGCCTGTGCCGTAGTTATCTTTGAGCATTCTTTTTCTTAGTACATAATAATAATAATATCCAATGTTAACCTTTAGGTGTTTGTTCTTCGAACTATTGGGTCCGACGACTGCCTTTTAGTTAACTTTTGTCAAACTTTTAGCTACTTGGGGAATGCTGAGCTGTTTTTCATCCACCTACTTCAGGTGTCAAACTGTTGGTCGATTACCTTTGAACACCTTAACTCTGCAGAAGTACTTTTCTGTGCAGTGCAGATCAGTCACCCACATTTAAATTGGCGAGTCCTTCAACCTATTTTTTTGTCTTTGTTCTAAAAGGTATCAAACAGGCCGAGTGCTATTTGAAAAAGCCAGAAAGATTCCAATGCCTTTAAACCGGCCTTTAAAACACAATACTAGCATTTTTTCAAAGATGTCACTCACACTTTATATACCTTGTTGAATGTGTTTTTCTCCTCCATGTTATCTGACAGAAAAGGACCTTAGTATCGGTGAGATCTACTTATTATTGCCATAGAGAGCATGTAGAGATACTACACCGGGCTGCTGATATAATCAGATGTTGTCCAAACTCTACCTATATTCAGGTGGCAATGATGAACACGCTAGGTTGTAGTTATATAGGCCAGCTGCAGAACTGCAGAGGCAGAGGACGCAGTGTGAGTGGTCCTGATGAGAGTGCGCGCCGCTGCCTATAGAGGACAGATGCGCTCGGTGCGTCAGGACGCACCAGTCCGCCGCAGATGGCTTGTGCAGTTTGTCCACATTTCAAAGCTTTATTTCAGACCTCGGCGCTCGTTCTGCGAGAGCATGACGGCGAACATTCTACAGTTTGAAAAAAAAAAGTGAAGCTCGGCTGCCGTGAACAGAGACAGAGAGTCAGACAGAGAGCAGGCACACCACAGTCTGATTTGCCTCACACCCTTTGCGACGGTGGCTCATTTGCTCACTCGCTCAGCATCGAGCCATAAGGAGCGGACGGACACCGCGACTGCAACTTCCATTTCCTCCTTTCCACATCTGCATCGCCTCCTCGTGTCGCTCCAACTCGCATATTACCATTATCTCCGTGCAGGACAATGGTACACCTATTTATTTTAAAGCCCGCTCGGGCGCATTTTTGTGAGAATCCGCTCTGTCCGTGAGGATTTCAGCCAGTCTTAGTCTGGTGGATCTTTTCCCTCTACTGTCGGCTTGTCTCTGAGAAAGCAGCTAATTAATTTTTAATTCTTATGCATCCGCACGAAGACGGGACCAGAGAGGAGAAAACGAGCGATAACCAGAGGAGAAGAAGAGGAGGAGAAGAAGAAGGAGACAAGTGAGGGACACGATAATGAATGAGAAACACTGAGCAATCAAGGAAAACCAAGAGTGGAGGGATCAAGGTAGGAACAAGCAGTGTTCGTGTCATGTGTACTTAATAAGTACAATAATATTGCATCAGTATTAGCGCGTGAATACGCAGACGTCCATTAGCAGACTGCCGTGAAGTGCAGGCGTGTAAGCCGATTTATTTATTTATTGACATTTTATGCTTTAACAGATGCGGAGTTCGTGTTTACTGTGCGTCAACAGCAGTGGACTTGTAATAAAAAAGAAGGATGCTCCGTAGAAGTGGGCTTTTATTTTAAACAGGACTCCTCGTCTTTTGGGCCTATTGGTGGCACCGTGACCTGCACACTAATAGATATTGACTATTTTAATTAATACACAGACTCAGGGTGAAGGACGATGACTTCTAGTCTTTTAAAGAATAGAAGTGGATTTTTTTTTTGCTTATTAGATGACACTGATTTTTTTTCATTTACTGCTTTTGTAATTCACACCAAAAGGGAGAGAAAATAAGACAACTGTTGGCCTTATTTCAAAATGCAAAGTCCTGTATTAACGGTGTTTTCCATTTTCTGAGAAAACTAACCCACTGACCACAGGAATAAAAAGAGCAGCAGCAGAGAGGTTCAAATCAACTCCGTCTAATCCCCCGTGCATGTCATGGGCTACACTAATATTCAGATTATTACCTGTAAGGGTCGGCTCCAGGTGCTCCGAGGGGGGCTAAGAGCAGCAGGTCTGCAGGAATATTTTAGGATGTCCCAAAATAAATGAACTCACTCTGAAGTCAGCTACGATGAGCTCAAGTAATGAATGTGCCATTTCCTACCACAGCTGAAGCCTCTGCAGAAAACATCCCTGTTTATCAGATTTAATCAAACCCTGTAATATTTGGGGGTCCGCGTCATAAAAAACTATGGCGCCTTTATATTGTTGCATGCTTGACTAATTCCCATTTTAATAATAAAATATCTAATACAGAGGCGTAAGCCATGGTGGAAGAAATTAAACTTTTGTCCTTTTGTGTTATTATGATAAAATTCAACCACAGAGAGGAAGCCCCCCGAAAAGAGTTATTTCTCTGCTGGTAAGCCTTTCCCTCATTCCACTGGGGTGCATTGTGTTTGTCCTGCCAATTCTTGGGGAGAAATTGGCATGTCTACTGTTCTGAAGGGGGCTGAATGAAATTCAAATTCTTCAGGTGGTAAAACAGCAATATTGCAACTGTCTGATTGCGTTATCTGAACATTCAAGAAGCCAGACTTGGAATTGGTTTACTGCCAAACCCTCTCCCTGAGAAGACAGAAGGATTTATTTCCCCCTTGTCTGTTTGTCACATCACCATCAGCGACCCCCCCTCCCAAAAAAAATCACCTCTCAGTGGACAAATATCAACCATACATTAGCTTAGCACTATCACCAACCTTATATGTAATTAATCATATTTCAAGTTTTTTATTTTTCCCAGTGCGACTTTCTGTGGTCAGAATTTAAAAAAGAAAATCACCTGCCTGCCGCTGTGTGCCAAAATAATATCATTATTTAAGCTTAATAAAGCCATTATTGCACATGTCACTGCAATACAAATGCACCGATTCCATCTTCTTGTGTATATAGATACTCGTATAACATTTAATGAATATTTAATGCGGTGAAAAAAAAACAAAACAATGCATTATTTCCTACAGTGATTGTTTCCTTCGTGTTCCTGTGACTTTCTTGGTCATATCCGAAGCTACGTGACAAAGCAGACGGAATTAAACGTGTCTCATGAGCAAGTAGAAAGACATTTAAAAATGATATGAAATTAAATACAATATTCCGTTTTGTCTCTTTATAAGATGTAGGTAATTTACATAATTAAATATGGCCATCGATGTCAAGGGGTTATTTAAAAAAAATCAGTTAATTCCTCAGCAGAGGATTTAGTCACAGAGAAGAAAAGTGAATGAGTGAAACACCTCAGTGAATCATTTAAAGAATTTTACATTTGTCCTTTACCTCTGCAAATGTAATGGTACATTTCCCAGCATAGCATTGTGTGAAATATAAAAGAAAAATATGTGTGTTGCTTTCAGTAGCAACACATTATTCTGCAATTACAATAGGCTTTGGGCTAACTAATAACTTCTTTCAAAAGGCAGAGAGGGACAAACTGTATCCCACAGCTGCAGGGTTCACCAAATCCACCATTCAGTTACACTTTGTGTTCCAAGATAAAAATAATAATAATAAAAAAAAGTATCTAGTTTTCAGCACAGTGCCTCAACTCAAAATGCAATTAAAACTTTGGCCACTATTGTTACGTTATCAGTGTGGATTTATAAATGTTTAAAGAATGAAACAGAAAATCCATTTGGAGGTAGTGTATAAGCTCTCCGTCTGTCCTGATGCATGTACTGTAGGTTCATCTAGTATCACCACACACACACACAAACACACACACACACACACACACACACACAAAGTGTCGTCCACTGGCAGTGCAGTTTATATTCCAACATTGAAACTTAATGTCATTTTGTCTTTTGATGATGAAAGAATGTGATTAGATGCCCGGCCTTCACCAGCCAGTCTGCCGCTTCCTGTATTTTCATGGCCCGTCGAACAGGGACATTTATTTTGAATAATTATGCTCATGTCTTGCACTGATTTATTTTAACTCTGAAAGACCATTTGCGGAAAAAAAAAATTAACACTTTCTTGTGCTTATTTTTACTTTTTACTTTTTTCAAACATTCTGACAGAACGTCAAATCGTGTTAACAACTAAAGTACCGACGGTGACTTTTACAACCACACTTTATTACTTTATTTGCTGACATTTTCAACACAAAGGACACACATTGGCGAGTGTTAATATCACAAACGGGGCTGAAGAAATGAAATATAACTGGTGGCCTCGTTATTCTACATGGTTTGCTGAAGTGCCTCGTGTGTGTGGGTGTGTGTGTGTGTGTGTGTGTGGAGGCAAAAGAAAATTTGTGCCCTTTTCAATTGAGCCAAAATGCTATGTCTGTGTCAGACGGGTTTTTGTTTACCTGGCAATGGCAGCTCCGTGGTTGTCAGCCGCCTGATAAGGCTGGTCCTGACAGGAAGGCCATTATGATTATAATAACACTTATTGTGGTTCGGAGTTTAACCAGGGCTGACAAAACACACTGGGAATGGTTTTAAACAGCTGCTGTTGGACTAATTATTGTAATCAGAAATTCTCTATTATGTTTTCTTAGGCAATCGGTAACGTCTTGGCCGTTGTTCCCTTAAATGGCAGGGTGAGTTTTGGGAACATGTCCATTCAGCAGTGCTACTGTCCTGCAAATGTGGGACGGTTGAAAAGGGGGAGGGAGGGCGAGCATAAGAAAATAAAGGAGAATATCATTAGGAAGGGCTGGAGGTGCACGAGAGGCAACAGGCACAAGTGCTCTCTGCTGTTGCTCTTATTTGCTGAAGCGATTGGTTGTGTTCATCCATTTTGAAGCTCTTGGCCTCTGTGCTGTGCAGTTCTCTGCCATGCACACAGAAGCCTGCTCCCTGAGAGAGAGAGAGAGAGAGGCAGAGAGAGACTGGAGGTGCAGGTTTGAAGAAGCCAATCTCACAATCTGACCCTACCAAACACTAATTCAATTCAATCGCTGCCAGCCCTGAGCTCGTGTTGGCGCCAGTGTGGCGAAAACGAACAGAAGCAACAAGAGCACATGCACAGGAAAATCGATGAGGACTCTTTTTCATAAATGGAGTGGGTGTTAAATTAGCTGGATGGACCCGAGCAGCAACACACTGGATTGAGTGGCTGGTGTATTTGGGTTGTGTCTATCGAGTGAGAGACGTCTTGGTGTACAGCAGTGAAAAGGCCCGGTGATGCACAATCAATGTGACCAATCAGCCTCAACAGCAATTCATTTAGTTATACACAGATTTGTCAGGGGGGTGGTGACTCCGAATTGCTGTTTAAAATATGTCGCTGCAGTTTCGACAACCGATTTGTAACCGCTTTCTGTAATGACCTGCTTTTGTGCTCCTCGGAGCTGCTATGATTTTCTTATTCATGCTGCTAAAAGCAGGGTGAAAACACAGCGGTGACCCACTCTTCGTGGTCAAAGCCCTCATTTCCTAACATTTGCAAAAGCTTTTCATGAACATGTGAGAAATGATTTCACCTCAATATCGTCTCACCTTACTGATTGTCTGACATTTTAGGAGATCTGTAAAGTCAGCTGCTGCCAAATTTATAATGTGGTGGTGACGCTCCTGAGGCTGGGATTGATTCTGATCCTTTTGCACCTTTGGCAGGCCACAGGTAGCCACAGAGAAAAGTATGAATGCTGCCAATAGAAATGCAAACGCAGGCACCTTTGGATGCACAAGCGAAGAAGAACAGTTTTATTTATGCAGGTTTATGATTGGGAGTGTTCAATTTAAACCTGTAAATAAAGTCGCCTCCACGTTGCCATTTCCCCGAGCATGAGTCTGACACTTCTTGAATGTCAGCTTTTGTTGTTTAAAATATGAACAGATCGTCACCTGATTATTTTGCTGTTGAAAGTTTAAGTTGGTCCTTGGGTTTCACTATTGACAAGATATGAATATTTTATGTTAATATTTAATATTTCTCTGTTGCCCAACTCTCCTCCTGCGTAAGGGCTAAGTGGCTGGAGTGGTTGCTTCGAGTCAAAAAAATTCAAATGTCACAGCAGAGCAGAATATATATGTTTTTTCAAGGTTGTATTTAGGGCAGGGTGGTAATTCAACCAGCAAACATTTGTCTCCTTGGTTTAATCTATAGTTAAAACACGTCTTAAAACAATATGAGACCACATGATGCACTAGCCCAGAGGGGTGTTTATTATTAACCAGGTGACATATACTGTATATATATGTGTGTCTAGATCCAGACCCAGTTCAGATCCAGTCATGCTGACATAAGGTTAGACCGTCAAAAAACAAGTTTCAAAATCCTTTTAAAATTAACCAGTGAAACATCAGACTAAAAGCTAGCCTTCAGTTCAAGGGTAGTTTAATTTGTTGGGCGGAAAATATTCTGTTATTTCGAA